TGGAGTCCATTCTGACCCACAGCGCCCCTAGAGGACAGAGTGGAACTGCTCATAGGGTGTCCAAGGCTGTCAGTCTTCACAGAGGCAGACTGCCTCATCTTTCTCTCAAGAAGTTGGTGGGTTCCAACTGCTGACCTTGTAGTAGGCAGCCGAGCACTTTAAGCACAGTGCCACCAGAGTTCATTTCATGAACTGTAGATTGAGTTTAAATCATGTTTTGATTTGAGGAGCACCAGCGAGTGTGGCCCATGACTTTGTTCCTTACTTGTGAAATACACATGATTAAAGTCACAGGTGCACTCAGTGGTAGGACTGGAGATGATGATTGTTTAAAAAATGCCCCAAAGAGAATCTCATTTTTTAAAAATAGCACTTAAAAAAATAATAAAGAATTTGTTCCATTTAACTCAGTGACATCAGTAACAAATCGCCCACTCATTCAATACTGAAGGAGATCACAGCACCTCAGACATGCACGAGGACTGCTCAGTTACCTGCACCCTGACAGAGCAATTCTGAGGTAGCTATTCTCCTTATAACAGAAGTCATTAACCATGGGAGGAACAGCTCAAAATGCACAAAGCGCCCCAAACCGTTGCTGGCAGGTCTGGGCTTTAACTCAAGCAGCTCGGTTTCCATCCCAGACGCTGCCCACCACCCCTGCTCGGCAGGGTCTAACATCTTGAGAGATGGAAATGCCTAACTGCTTTCACGAATCCTTCCAGAAACATTTGGATTTTGTTATTTTTGCCTCTCACAGCAACAGAAAGGACAAACACAGGGCCCAGAGCCTGGAATCCTGAAGATGGTTGTGAAGGCAGGCTACAGCGCTCCCAGCTTTGGAACGCATCCCCCTCCAACGTGCTGACCCTCAGAAAGGCAGATAGGCCCCGAGTCAGCCGGTCCTACCTTTAGGACCTGTTCCAGGTTCTCCAGCTTGGCTTAGAGCTGGTGCCTGTCCCTCACGGCCAAATTGCGTGCCTCGGTCACTCTGGTGAGTGTGTGGGTGAGCCACACATGGTCCGCTTTCCGCTGCAGAGAGAAAGGACGGAGAGACGGCTTACGGCGTGCACACAGACGGCAGCAGGCCGTTCCCAGGAGCGCCACCCCCTTCCTCCTCAGTCTCCCCTTGAAATCCTCTCCTCCCTCCCTTCCTCCCTCCCAATCCATGGACATGACGGGTGGGTCCACACCTGCTCCGTGTGGAGTGTGACTGAGGGCTGGGCACTCAACACATGACTCCCTCCCTCCTCGCCCCCACCTCCCCTGCACCCTACAGCCACAGTGGTTGGTTCAGGCCCAGGAGCATGACCCTGACCTGCCCAATCAGTGCAATGCCACCACCAGATAGAGTGATTGGCTGGGGAGGGACAAGGGCCCCCATCAGATCCCTGGCGATGCTGGACTTGTGTGGAAGGCAGGGGAAGAGGGTCGTGAAGTCCAGACAGCACATGACACACTGTGCTAGATAAATATGCAGCAAAAGACCCATTTCTTAAAAAGACGTCACTCGGGTGACTAAGGTGTGCTTGACCCAAGCCACTGTCTCTTCAGCAGACTCGTGTGCATGTGAAAGCTGGACACTGATAAAGGAGCCAGGAACTGGTGCATTCAAACTGTGGTGTTGGCCGAGAATCCTGGGTAAACCACGGACGCCAGGAGAACAGACCAATCAGTTACCACGGACGCCAGGAGAACAGACCAATCAGTTACCACGGACGCCAGGAGAACAGACCAATC